TCTCTCTCTCTCTCTCTCTCTCTCTCTCTCTCTCTCTCTCTCTCTCTCTCTCCCCTTCAGTTTCTTTATCTGTGGTAGAGGACGCATGAGCTCGAGAAATATTTGGTTAAAATTCAGATTATACATGTTGATAAAAAGCCAGAAAAATACATTATTCAGGTACAATTATTTAAAAAATGAAGTTTCTTCTCTTTCCTGAACGAGGAAGGACGTGAAAAGGGGAGGTAACTGCTGCTGTATCATGCAACCGAATAGGTCATTTCCTTCTTTTTCATAAACCACAAAGTAAATGCCGGTACTTCTTAATTAAACCAGGCAGTCCACTTGTACGCAGAAGGGCAGGAAACTTGCGGAGGAAGCGAGGAACTGAGGTGTAAATATGTATTTATTGAATTCTTTTTGTTTTGGATTGTTTGAGTAAATAGAAGCACATCGACACAGTAATGGCCATTTAATTTAGTGCTGGGAAAAAGTAAGACAGACAGGCAGAAACAACAGACGGAAAGTAAAGAAGTAAGACTTATATACCAGTAGCGCCCTCCACCACCCACATTGGATCCTGAAGTTAGGGATCTAGGATTGAATTTTGCAGCACTACTGACAAATTCCTGGCTTCAAAACAAAGTTCTTTACACGAAAAGCAACCCAAACAAGTTCAATATCACAGAGTATCCTCCAATAAATCTCTTTCACTTTGCATGTGCGGATTAAACAAGAGCAAATCGACACGGACAATTAGCATTAGGAAAATAGCCCAACAGACAGTTTTCGTAAGCTCTTTACGGCACTTGCAACACAATGAAGTCATATAAGTGCCAAAAAAATAGATGTGTTACAAGAGAGTAACATACATAAAAAAAAGAAGGAGGAGAGATAAGGACGATAGATGTCTGATAGAAAAAAAGAGCAAACCACACCGGAGCACCCGCCAACCACCCACACAGACAGTTTAAAAACATCATACAGCTCAGAGAGCCTATAAACAACAGACAGTACCCAAAAAAAAGTGGAAGCATGAAAAAAAACACACACCCCAAACCAAAAGAATCAAACTTACCAGTGTAGCGCCTGCTCATTCACTCTGCGTCCAGCATTGAGATATACACCACAAAAGCTGTCCCTGTAAAATAAAACAAAGGCAAACAGATATGAATATTACGCACATTAGGCATATGACAAGACGAGAGATAAAAGCCAGGCTATCTAAGCGTGGAATACCAGGACAGGCGCTAGAACACAGAGAATCAATAACACAATAAATGGCACCTTTCTCTCCGCGCTGGCGGGGCTATCACGCTAGACACGCGACCACGGCGAGAGGAATCGGTGAAAATGGACCGTCTAGCGAGCTAGAATGAGCCCCAGTATCAAATACCGACGCTGTCTTCCGTTATTAACATATATCAACACAAATCGGTCCTGACAGAAACAAATTTATTTTCAAATTCCGAGAACATTTCGCCGTGAACCACGCTTCAAACAGCAAATGTCTGCTAGAAAAATGAGGTATTCTTTAAGGCCAAGAGAAGTGCCCATAACACGGTAACAGCCATTTCGTGAAAATGGTGAAATGGTATGGGTTTAACGCCCCTATCAACACTATTAGCTTATTTAAGGGGCGGGACCTCCTAGTTTAACGTCCGTCTCCGATAGGACCCAGCCAAGCGGGAAGTTCGTGTAAAGTGCTTTTCCCAAGGACACAACGTCGGACCGAGCTGAGGTTCGAACCCCCGAACCCGCAGTCTCACGAAGCCATTTCGTGCAGGGGGATAAGCAATATAAAAAGCGAGAAACAGCAGTGGGAAAGGCCGACTCTGACCCAACAACCATCCACCAATATGTATGAAGGACGCGGCAACGTATCTGTCCACAGTGCCCTCAAACCATCCACCAATATGTATGAAGGACGCGGCAACGTATCTGCCCACAGTGCCCTCAAACCATCCACCAATATGTATGAAGGACGCGGCAACGTATCTGCCCACAGTGCCCTCAAACCCTCAAACCATCCACCAATATGTATGAAGGCGCGATAATCTATTCGAGGCGCCTTCCAACGACTCACCAATATGTATGAGGGCAGAGTAACCTATCATGATGTCAGTTTGCTTTGGAGAATAAGTTTTTCTCTGTCCTACAGCTGTGCAACAAGGTGGCCTTTGCAACTTGACATACAACCTGGACGGGTGTGCAGCCTACAAGCCATTCCTCCAACCACCCAGGTTAAAAACAATAGCGTTTTTATTTTAGTTTTAGTAAGAGTTTCAAGGGACTTCCAACAAAATACGGTTATATAGGTCCGGAAGATAAGAGGAGTTAAAAGAGAGTAACAAATACAAGAAAGAAGGCGGAGAGATCAGGACGATAGATGTTTGATAGAAAAGAAGGAGCAAACCACACCCGAGCACCCGCACAAAAACAACATACCCGTCCCAAGTCGACCAATCGGAGAGAAGGCAAGCCGAAAACTGATGCGCTTGCTCTTTTTAACTTCCCCGCACAAGAGCACTTTAACAGGGACATCCGCTGCTAAGCTCTGATTACATGTCACGCGAGTCGGAGTGTTGCAGGACTCACGAAAGCCGAGCACACAAATGGTCGCTTTCAAGCACAAGGTGGCTATCCCGAAAAATGCTGTTTTGGGAAAATCGAAGGTAAAGTGTTTGCCCCTTGTTCAGTTTCTTTAAAAGACAAGGAGAGTATTCTCAATAACCAAACAAATATACGCACCAATGAGACCAAACTTCTCTTATAGGTAGAGCAATGCGCACTTTTAGTGTACGTCAAGACTTCTCGGAACCCCCGAAATCTGGGTTAGCCCGCTTGTCCTTAAAGGCGACCAAATAGAGGGCAGCTGAGAGACTCCCGGCAACGAAGAGTTGGGAAGATGGGTCACTGATTGATTGCTATGTTTTACGACCCTTTGGCACAGTCGTTCATTTAGGAGTCGGGCTGCGTCGACAGTGTCTTTCAGGGTCCATCCATTTTGAGTGGGGTCCAGTATCCCAGAAGAAAGAAGAACGGTGACTCGTCGGTACAGCCTTTCCTTTGCCAGGAATTAAACTAACTTCTTGCAAGAAACGGAGAAAAACCCTACTTTTACACCATAAGCGCGGGTGACGATGAGCAGCGGTGAACGGAGAACAGCTGGCCAACAATATAGTGGTAGAAAACATCAGATAACAGTAAAGGAAGTCAAGAGGAAGTACTGGAAAGAAGAAATGCTTACAAGAGACTAGAGAATACCCACTTTCGTATGCGGCGACTCACTTCAATGCGTCCGTCAAACAAGGAAGTGTTTACACACGCCTTTCCAGTTTATCCTATTAACTTGATTTACATCCTTGATCTACTCCCTCTCTCTCTGTGTCTCTCTCTCTGTCTCTCTCTCTCTCTCTCGCTGTCTCTCTCTCTCTTTCTCTCACACTCTCTAACTCTCTCTTGCTGTCTCTATCTCTCGCTGGCACTGTCTCCCTCCATCATCCCTCATTCTATCCCTCTCTGTTCCTCCCTCCATCTCTCTCACTCATTCTCTCTCCCTCTTCTCTCTCTCTCTCTCTCTCTCTCTCTCTCTCTCGTCCTTCATTCATCTAATCACTTATGCAACACCAAGTAAAGCCACCTGTCTAGACAAGGCTTACTACACACTATATGTACATGGTGAAACGACGCGGAAAGGAATTAGAATTCCATCCGCACCAGATGGTGATTTGGCGCCCCGAGTGATCGTTAATTTTCCACCAGTATACTCTAACACCATCGATAGGGACTCCCCGAAGACAGACAAGTCGATGAGGACATTCTCAAGCTGCTGACCGCTACTTTATTCAATAATAATGAATTATTATTCCCATCAGGCGCCATGGACCACATGAAAGGGTGGGGGAACAAAGATGAAACCAAACCGCGAGGGTGGCTTATGACTGTTGTGACCGTCTGGGGCACATCGCTAGACAGAGAACGCCAATCTCGGAAGCAGACAGCATAATGACACACTACCTTAGCCAAAGTGTTCCAGAGCAGAATGTCTAGTTGCAGTGTGCGAGGAATTAGCATGACTGTGGGAATACGTTACCAGAGACTTGTTTCACTTTGAGTTTTAATTGTAGGTCACATGAGTGCGAGTGCCGAAGATTAGAGGTGGTACCCGAGGATAACAAACGCAAAACAAAGAAGGAGGAGAGATAAGGACGATATATGTCTGATAGGAAATAAGGAGCAAACCACATCTAAGCACCTGCCAACCACTCGTCAACCACCCACTTACCACACTCTTAACAGCATTTGTGTCATGACGTGGCGGAATCAGGCGCTCGTCAATACTTAGGCCTTTAGGGTTATTGGTATCACCTTATGAAATACAGTGTGACTTTATGTCACTGAGGCGTTACGCTAGCCGTGAAGGCCGACCCGGGTCACCCCGAAACGTTGCTGGCTAAAGGGGCTCTGGTAAAACCCTGACTGACCTAGCAAGCCGACGGTGGATAATTACTGCTACGAAACAATCAAAGGAGACCCCTCGACGCTAAACGGCAACAGAGGACGAAAAAGACGGAAAGTAGGTATCACCTTAAG